ACAATACATTTTCCATTAACAAACTTCTTCATCTTCAAAAAAAATAAAAAAATAAAAAAAATAAAAATCACATTTATGTATGCTATGTCAAAAAAACAAAGTTGTGGAGGTTTGCCCCTTTTTTTTTTTCTTTTTCTTTCAACCCCATTTTTTTGGCCATTAACTCCGATCCAATCTTATTATCGGATTTTCTTTCATATTTATTTTTTCTATCTCAAAATTTGTAAATTTTTTTTAAATATTGCTTACATAATAAAAAATAATTATCTTTTATTTTTTATTTTATCTTATTTATATATTATAAAACTTGAATTTAAAATTTTTTACTTCTAATAAAAAGAGATGAATAATGAGTTATTTAGTTGTTACACTTTTTTTTATTTTTTTAAGAAAAAAAAGGGAAAAAATACGAGCGTACTTCAGTAAATATTGTCCCATCTTGCTTAAAATATGAACAAAATGAACTTACGATTGAACAGCCCAGAAAATCTGCGAGAACGAGCAACCTTTGATCGATTAGGAGCCCAAGCTGATAAGTAAGCTCTCTCTCTTCTTTACTCGTAAAGCCGTAAACTTTTTGCTTATGTCCTCAATTTCTCATATTCCTGTTTCAAACAAGAGTTTAAATAGCTAATTTTATGATGGTGTAAGCTTGTTTGATTGATTGATTTTCAAAAAACCCATTTCTCTAATTGATACCTTTCGTGTGTTGTAATGATCAGGTGTTCGAAACTTGAAATTTTGCAGAGTTTTAGATCTGGGTTTTAATAATTAGTGCAGGGTTTGAGTTGGTTCATCGGAATTTTTGTACGACTCACAAGGTTGTAGACTCTTCATCTGGTTTTGCTTTGAAGAGGCTAGATTTTCATATCTGGTGGGAGGAGCTTGTTCTTTTGTGGGTAATCTTTGTATGATGGTGATTTTGGATTCTCCTTAATTAGATTGAATCACAAGAGAGAAAAGGTTATAGAGATTGTTTTAAGCTTAGATGGGGAAGCCGTTGTTTTATGAGATCTTGGAGAAGCCAGCAACAAGTTGTATAATAGGGATATGCAGTGCAATCTGGTTCTATATTCAGAAGAAAAACATTGGGTATCAACATGTAGGTTTGAGTTATGAAACTGCCATAGAAGGGCACCATTGGAGGATAATTACTTCAGCTTTTTCTCATGTAAGTGTTCTTCATCTAGTTTTCAATATGAGTGCACTTTGGAGTCTTGGGGTTATAGAGCAGCTGGGGCACCTGGGTCTTGGTGTGTCATATTATCTTCAGTATACACTTGTCTTGGTTGTATTATCTGGAGTTCTTGTTTTGGCACTTTACCACTTGCTGATCCAGCGATTCAAGGTTGAGTATTTTCGTCGAGTGACAGCTGTTGGGTATTCTTGTGTTGTTTTTGGGTGGATGACAATTCTTTCCGTGAAGCAACCCTCATCAAAGTTGGATCTATTTGGGTTTCTTTCCCTTCCCATTAGTTTTGCGCCATTTGAGTCTCTAATTTTCACTTCAATTATTGTTCCACAAGCGAGTTTTGTGGGTCATTTATCGGGAATCATTGTTGGTTATGCTATAGCATGGGGCTTGATCAATGGCATGAACAATTACTGGGCAGTTTCTATGCTGGGATGGATTGTGGTTACTTTTGTCTTCAGTTTGAAGCGGTCTGGTGCATATGATTTCAATTTTATTGATATTGAATCTGTTACTGATTCTTCATTGCCTTCTGTACGGTTTCTTGGAACTGGTCGAACCTTGCAGATGAGTACAATTGCAGCTGAAGGTGTTGAGGTTGTCTAACTCTTGCTCAAGGTCTTAGGCATCATATCTACAACGTGGGCATGGCTTACAAATGAGTCATCCTTTGATAATACATTTATACTGTATGATTATGAGGTGCTAGGCTAGAGAGTTTGAGTTGGAAATACTGCAATGTCCGTGATCATACAAATTGCCCAATCTGTTTTTCAAACTAGAAGCTGGTGTGTGCATCTCTTTGCTGCCAAACAGTTTGCAAGTTACTGTCATTGCTAAATGTAAGCAAAGCATCATTCATTATTCTGTTTTCCCCTTATTTTTCTTTCTTTTTTTGACTTCTGATCATTCAAATAGCTAGTAGCTACTAGGTTGGTGTACCATTTTTTTGAACAATGTTCAGAACGTGAATTCATTTATAATATTCAAATTTAAGTTTGTACAACTCTGGTATGATTAATGAACATACTTGGAGGGAAAAAGTATGATGTTCCATTGAGCTTCTGTCTAAATCTAGAGCTCAGCTATTGTATGAACATGACGACTTTCTGTTGTGGTATATTATGAGATAAAATAACTGCCTTGGTTAGTGATAAAACATCATAAGATGACTATTGTTCTTCATATGATCCTCCTGGAGGGTTTTAACAGGTCTAGGCTGGAGGCTTCCAAGTTACAGGTCTCCTAAAACAAAAGGAGAGAGAGTGTTGCAGGACTCGATATGCTTCACCATTTCTGTAGGATGAGAAAGTTCATTGAATAAAATGATCAACACACATGGCTGAGAGGCTTTTGAATTGTGACCTCATAGTTCTTATTTAATTTGTCTTTCTCACATAGAAACAAACATGATCATAAACACCTCATAGTTCTTATTTAATTTGCGTCTTTCTCACGTAGAAATAAATACGATTATAAACATAGGATGTGAAACATGTTTTCATTCATGACGCTGAAACATGTTTTGCAAACCAGTATTAAATTTGTGGAATTTTAAAGATTATAGTCTACAAGAATTCAAAATGGTTGCAATATCATATTAGAAAAAGGAAGATGGAAGAGATCCACGACTTCTAATAGGGGCCAATTTAATCGAATGGAATATACAACATTTGAATTTGGTTCATAATTCATACGATAAAGAAATATCCCAACAAATGATGTGGTAAATTAACTATAAACAGATAGAAGCTAGCTAAATCTAGCATAACTACAGACAAATGTGACGTCGTGCAATAACATAAGCGACATTGTTTGATGACAGCCACCATGCCACTTTAACAATTAAAAGAAACAAATAAAAAAATTCCTCACTGTCACTGACAATGTGCAAAGTCATTATGGCATCTGATTGATCTGCAAAGATTCAGAGGATTTCATAAACTAGAATGTTGAATATTCTCAAAGAGAAAGAACTCATGTAATGTTATGTGCATTAAGAAAGGGTAACAACATGAAAGCTTACCATTTCTTTACATCTCCATGACTTTCTTCATGACCAGCATTTCCATTAGCATGGGCTGAACCAGAGGTAGAACTGTTTTCTTGAGCACCTGGATGAAGAAGATGGGAGAATAGTCCAAATGACTTCCATAAGCGTGTTGGCAGTGATGACTGCAAATTACCACTAGTCCCATCTGATGATGGTTCAATAAACCTAGCTGAGTCAGGGTTCAGTTCGGAGAACCTTACAGCTCCTAGTAGTTGCTCAGGAAGTTCTGATTCAGTTTGGCCCTCAATAACAAAAGCTAGGTCAACAGTAAGAGTTGTGATGTAACCAAATGCCAGATGAACTATGGCACTAGCTACCATGGAAGACCCAATATCAATATCAACTTCAAGAAAATTCGTTGATAAAAAGTACTTGCAAGAAAGAGCACGTCCAATAATGCATATGGCTTGCTCTCCAACTGCTTTTTTCACAATCCAAGGGCCTTTGACAATATTGGCTATCAACTTAAGCCTTGAATTTCTAAAGCTGTCATCACCTTTCAAGAACTGGTCCATCAAAGACCCCTCTGGAATTGGCTCTGTGGCTATGAAATAGGCCACAGCACTATAATTATCCTTACTTGGTGCTTGTATATTGAATGCCCAAATGAAAGGCTTATCACCAGCTGGGAATGCATCTTCAATGACCTTTCTAACTCGACTATTGGGATGGCTTAAGACCTCACCAATCTTTGACGAACTCTTTATCCAGTCAAAACCAAGAGGTTTTAGAAGATATTCACCGCCAGGGATTTTAACCTTGGTCTTCAAGTACTCTGGACCTCTTACCATGAAGGCATCTCCAGGTGGAGATGCCCAACCATTTGGGCAGTTATCTGGTTCTAGTAGTGGCACAGCTCCCTCTGATTTCACCTTCTCTACCCACTCAGGCTCATTGCTGCCACCCGCATTGGCCATCTGCTCTGTTGCCATCAATATACAAAACCATCACAAAGGAGCAAAGAAACAAGATCACTATTATAAAGTTATAATCAGTGTAATGTACTGTTGCAAGGTTAACGTGTTGGGCAACTAGCAACGAACAAACTATCACATCCTTGCAAAGGAACATGGTATCTTTACCACACAAGTTGCAAGACAGTTGTAAACAAAGAACAAGAAATTTCAAGCAAAAGATATCCAAACTAAACACAAGAAACCCATCACATTTAAATGAAGAACTGGCTCCTTTTATAGCCAGGTTCCATCAATAAAATTTTTGCCTGCAAGACTGGCTCAAAATTCAGTTTGAAAAGCTTCAAAGGAAACATTTAGAATCTGTCCCCAACCCATAACACAAGTCAAGTATAACAAACCAAGGCTCAATGACAAGCCTTCACTGCTAGTTAGTTGTTAGTTGGATTGCCAACCAACTGAAATTCTGAGGCTTCTAAATTTCAGGCAAAACCCAGATGTTAAAGTATGATCCTTTTGACAAACCGTGGCTATTTCTAGCTTTCTATTCTACTCATATTCATATGGTTAACCCGTGAAGGGCTTATATGCTTAGGCAGAACCCAAAATCCAAACCTTGAGGTTATCCCATTAAAGAAATTTAACCAATTAAAATTGCAATCTGGGAAAATTTTGATGCCCCCCAAAAAGACAAAGAAATTTATGCAGAAGAAAAAGCAATCTAATTTGCGGTCAAAACAGATTAGATTGCATGAATGCATCAGTTGAGGGTGAAGAGGACAGAAACCCTAACCTTGAGTTGGAGAAAAGGAATTTGAAGCTGAGGACTCCTCAGAAACGCCAATTACAGAGATACAGAGATACAGAGATCAAAGATACAAAATTTGGGTTTTGCTTTGTGATTAGGATGTGGAAGCTTCAAAAGTAGCTCCTTAATTCTCCCAAAACAACCTGAAAAATAAAGTTCTCCTTTCCTGGGATTTTGATAGGGCAAGTGAACTTTTTCTCTATGAATTTGTATTAATAAATACAAAAATTAATTTTTAATTATAATTTTAATTAATTGATGGATAAAATTATAATAAATTTTTTTTAATTGTCTTCTAATGTAATTAATTGATGGATAAAATTATAATAAATTTT